ATCCCTGGGATAAATCTTACTTGGTAATGTTGTATGTATCTTACTTGGTAATGTCTCCCCCTCTCGGAGAGCCCGGCAAGCTACCGAGAGTATCCGATATGCCAGACACAGTAACAACAAAGTCTCCAATGGAGACGTTACTGGGCCCGCTCGAGCAAATCGATGATCAACGGGAGGGCCTTTACTTACTTTACTTTAATGTTGTATGATCTTTTTGATGAGTCGCTGAATTCTATTTGCTAATAGTTTGTTGAGGATCTTTGCATCTGTGTTCATCAGGGATATTGTCCTGTAATTCTCTTTCTTTGTGTCAACTTTGTCTGCTTTTGGTATCAGGGAGATATTTGCTTCATAGAAACTGTTAGAAAGTGTTTTTAATACTTCAATGTTGTGGAAAAGCTTAAAGAGGATTGAGAGTAAGTCCTCTTTAAAGATTTGATAGAATTTACTAGTGAATCATCTGTGCCAGGACTTCTGTGATTGGGGGGATTTTTTATTACCATTTCAATTTCCTTGATGTTGATAGGAGTGTTCGGGTATTCCAGGTCTTCTTGGTTCAGCCTTGGGAGGCTATTGGAATCTAATAATTTATCCATTTCCTCGCTGTTATCATGTTCTGTGGCATAAAGCTTATCAAAGTACTCCCTGAGGATCCTTTGAGTTTCTGTAGTTTCTGTTGTCATGACTCCCTTTTCATTTCTGATTCAGTTTGTTAGGGTTTTCTCTCTCCCTTTATTTGGAAGTTTTGCTAGAGACCTATAAATCTTGTTTATTTTCTCAAAGAAACAGCTTGGTTTCATTGAACTTTCGTATTTTTTTTTTGGGTTTCCGTATTTTTAATCTCAGCTCTCAGTTTTATTATTTCCTGACTCCTGTTCGAATTGGGCTAATTTTGTTGATCATTCTCCAAGCTCTTAAGCTGTGAGGTTAGGTTACTTATGTGGGCTCGGTCCTCCTTCCTGAGGAATGCTTGTAGAGTTATAAACTTGCCTCTTAACACAGCTTTTGCAGTTTCCCATAAGTTTTGGTAACTCGTGTGCTCATTTTTGTTCATTTCTAGGAATCTTTTGATTTCCTCTTTGATTTCCTTTCTAAGCTACTTGTTGTCCTATAGTGAGCTCTTTAATTTGCAGGTGTTTGATTTATTTTTCTGTTTGTGGGTGTGATTTACTTCTATTTTCAGTACATCATGATCTTATTAATTTTATGGAAGTATGTTTTGTGGCTCAGCATGTGGTCTATCTTGGAGAATGTTCCATGTACATTTGAGAAGAATGTGTATTCAGTTTTTTGAGGATGAAGTGTCCTGTATATATCTACTTAGTCCCTTTCTTTCATTTTTCCCTCATATGAAGTATGTCCTTGCTAAGCTTGAGTGGTTCATATATTAAGAGGTGATTACACAGTGTTGAAGTCTCACACTAGTATTGTGTTGCTATCAATGTCTTTCTCCAAGTCTATGAGTAGTTGTTCTAAGTACTTTTCTGGTCCCCCATTAGGTGCATATACATTTAGTATTGTAAGTCCTTCCCTTTGTACATATTCCTTGATCAATTAGAAATTGACTTCACTGTCTCTTGTGACTTACTTCAGTCTGAAATCAATGTGGTCTGATAGTTGGGTGCCTACCCCAGTTTTTTTATGGAGTTGTTTGCCTGTAGGATTGTTTTCCAGCCTTTGATTCTGAGACTGTGTTTACTTTGTCTATTGAGACGTGTTTCTTGGAGGCAGCAGAATGCTGGCTTCAATTTTCTAATCCATCCTGCCACTCTGTCTTTTAATTGGTGCGTTTAGCCCATTGGCATTGAGAAAGATTATTGTTATGGGTTTTGTCCCATTTTTCTGTTGAAATTTGGTGTATTTGAGGGAACCTGTCTTGTCTTAAAGTAGCCCATTTAGTTGCTCTTGTAAGCATGGTTTTGAGTCTATGAAGTGTCTAAGCTGTTGTTTGTCTGCGAAACTGTTTTTCCTTCTGTTTTTAATGAGAGTCTCACTGGATGAAGTATTTTTTTGGTCAGGCATTTATTTCATTGAGTTTTTTCACTATATCCCACCACTGTTTTCAGGCCATGAGGGTTTCGTCAGACAAATCCCCTGTGAATCTTTAGGATGCTCCTTTATAGGAAATTTCTTTCTTTAATCTTGCTACTTTCAGAATTTTGTCTCTATCTAAGGTTTTGGTCATTTTGATCAGGATATGTTTTTGGGTATTTTTATTCGGATTTCTTCAAGCTGGTATCCTTCGAACCTCATGAATGTGGTCGCATGTTTTCTTTAGCTCTGGAAAAGTCCTAGCAATGATGTCTTTGACAGGTGCTTCTTCATCAGGGTTTTCTTCCTGACCCTCTGGGACTCCAGGAATTCTTATGCTACTCCTCTTGGCTTCATCACGATCTTCTCTTGCCACCTGTTCCCAAATTTTGAGTCTCTTTTCCATTTTCTCCTCTTTTCTGGAGACTCTCTGGACTTCATCTTCGAGCTCACTGGCTCTGTCTTCAGCAGCTATTACTCTGCTGCTGATGCCTACCGCTGAGTTTTTCAATTCGCCTACCAGGTTTTTCAGGTCTAACATTTCCATTTGTAATTTTGTTTCCATTTATTTTCCTCATTTCTACCTTCAAGTCCTCTTATCTTTTATTTAATTGCTTTCCATTGTTCTCTAAGCATCCTCAGTACCTCCCTTCTAAATTCTTTGTCAGAGAGGTTGTCTAGCACTTCATTACTGTTAGTGTCTTCTGGATAGGCTCGTCAGTAAATAAGCTTGGTAGGCTTCTGCGTTGCTTTACTATTGTGACCTGTGTGGTTTAGTTCTTCATGCTCACTGTTACTATTCTGTTTAAGATACAGAATTAATTGAAATGGGCTTAATGAATTATTGGCTAATTTGTTTCTGGTGGTTAAGCTATCCTAGTGAAAATTCCATCTAAGAGGGTAACTTATGGTTCCTGTCGAATACGTAGGAGAATAACTCACGGCCAAGTTAGCAGCTGTGGCTCGGGGAAGGGTGGCTGTAGTTACACGTGCAGCCCTGGGGAGGGGAGCTGCCACCGGACAGGTACCTGGGTGAGTAAACAAAGGGTGCCGGAATGGCTCAGCTTTGGGTTTGTGCTGTGTGCCTCAGTTCCCTTTCCCTGTAGACCAACAATGAAAACCAGCCATTCTCAGGGGATCTAGTAAGATGCGAGTGTCGGGAAGCGGCCCTACGGCTGGGCTGGTACCATGATGAGTGAGCAGAGGGTGTCAGAATTGCTCAGCTTTGGGTTCGCAAAGTGTGCCTCAAATCCCATCCCCCGCAGATGAAGGATGGAAACCACCCATTCTCAGGGGACTTAATAAGCTGTGCAGCACCAGGAAGGGGCCCTGCCACCAGGCGGTTCCTGGATGAGTGAGCAGAGGGTACTGGAACGACTCAACTTTGTATTTGCGCAGTGTGCCTCAGTTCCTGGCCCCCACGGACCAAGGATGAAAACCAGCCATTCCCAGTGGATCTAGTAAAATGCGCAGCCCTGGGAAGGGGCCCTGTAGCCAAGTGGGTAGCTGGATGAGTGAGCCCACACTATCTCTTTTTACAGACCAGTATTTGGCCCTCATGTTGATGGTCACACACACAAAGGTGTCAATGGTGTCTATCACCATTCTAATAGGGCAAAGGAAATCACCCTAATGAGCATCATAGTCCCTTTCAGGGTATATATTAGCATGCCTAAAGTAAGAATGGGTCTTTGCTCACGGAACTTTACAGAAAAGGAGGAAAAGATCAGTGTAAAAACACTAAATTAGTGTAAAAATAAATATCTGTAGGAACAAAATCACAGTAAGTTAAATTTTAAAAATGTTACAAATAACATAATAGAATCAAGCAAAAAAAATGTTTTCCACTTATTGAACATTAATGTTGTGATACCTTCAATATATATTTAACTATGTTATTAATAGCATGATCTATGGTGGTCTTTTAATGCAACAGTGCTATGACCTGTTTCCTTAAAGAGAATAAAAAGAAATAAATAATTAAACTCAGACTTTCATTTATCAATCACGATTGAAATGTTTGGGGTGAGAAGAGTGATGAGGTTTTGTTGTTGTTATTTTTTCAATTTTATTATTGTTTTCTTTTCAGAGTTGACAGTGCTCAGGAGCAACTTTTGTCTCCGTGTTTAGGGACCATACAGTGCTATTGTAAGAATCCAGGGCTTCCCACATGTAAACCATGTTCCCCATACCTTTGAGTTTTCTCCCCAGTCTTTGTGTTTTGTTTTGAGTAATTTAGAAGGCTTTTTTTTCCACAGTCACGATCATGGTCCTCCCATTGTTCATCGATTTGCTCAAGCGGGTCCAGTAACATTGTGAAACTTGTTACTGTGTTTGACATATCGAATACATCACGGGAAGCTTGCCAGGCATTGCCAAGTGGATGAGATACTCTCGGTAGTTTTCCGGGCTCTCCAAGAGTGGCGGAGGAATCGAACTCTGGTCGACCATGTTGGCTGCATGCAAGGCGAACCCCCTACCTGCTGTGCTATCGCTCCAGCCTTTCTTTTCCACACCATAAATTATTTGTAAATTCAAAGTGATTGAAAAATTCTAGGAACTGTCAATTTCTTTCATACATGAACACTGAAAAACATTAATTGTAATAGTAATATGAATTTTTACAAATGGGTATAATAAAAAATCTATTTTTTGCAATTCATATCAAAAAGTAAAGTAATGATAGACTTTCAGTTGTGAATAATCTACAAGTAACTCTATCCCCACCTTGAAAAAAATCTTCATTTTTAATTAGGGCTCAGGAATAATTTTACTTTCTGCCTACAGTTTTGCATGGCTAACAATTAGGAAGGGGCAACAACCAGCAGTGAAAACTCAAGTACTGGTCCAGCTTAATGTCTGTAGTGTCATTAGTATGTTGTAGTATGGCGACAAGAAATGAAGGGGAAACTTGAAATTCTCTTAGAGTTGAGAATAGTTGTGTGAACAGAATGGCTAGGACAATTAAGAGTGTTTATGGCTTGCAGCTGCCACCACGACCATGGCCTCCAGCAGCAGGGGAGTTGTACTCGCCTACCTCCTGTCATGCTTCCTCCTCCTGCAACCAAATGGAGTTCAGCATTGTTCCTATACAGCTTCCGGAAAACATCTGTATATTGACAAAAATGCGAAGGTTATTTGCCAGGGTTTCACTGGGAAGCAGGGTACCTTCCATAGCCAGCAAGCATCAGAGTATGGCAGGAAGATAGTTGGAGGAACCAGCCCAGGCAAAGGAGGAAAGACGCATCTGGGCTTACCCGTCTTCAATTCTGTGAAGGAGGCCAAAGAGCAGACAAGAGCGACAGCATCTGTCATTTATGTCCCTCGGCCTCTTGCTACTGCTGCCATTGATGAAGCCGTCGAGGTGGAAATGTCCCTGTTGGTGCATCACCATGGATATCCCGCAGCAAGATAAGGTTCGAGTCAAGCACAAACTGCTGCGCCCGGGAAAGACCAGGCTGATCGGACACAACTGCCCTAGACTCATCAATCCTGCAGAAAGCAAAATGCAGAATGCAAAATTGGTATCATGCCTGGTCATATTCACAAGAAAGGAAGAATTGGTATTTTGTCCAGATCTGGCACACTGACTTACGAAGCTGTTCACCAAACCACGCAAGTGGGGTTGGGGAAGACTCCGTGTGTAGGCATGGGTGGGGATCCATTTAATGGAATAGATTTTATTGATTGCCTTGAAATCTTACTGAATGACCCAGCCACAGAAGGTATCATACTGAATGGTGAATTGGTGGTAAAGCCAAAGAAAAATATTTCAGAATTTCTAAAGAAGAATAAGTCAGGTCCCAAGGCCAAGCCTGTTGTTTCCTTCATTGCTGGTTTGACAGCTCCTCCTGGCCAGAGGATGGGCCATGCGGAGGCTATTGTTGTTGGAGGAAAACGTGATGCCAAAGAGAAGATCTTTGCCCTCCAGAGTGCCGGTGTCCTTGTCAGCATGTCTCCGGCACAGCTGGGGACCACCATCTACAAGGAATTTGAAAAGCAGAAACTGCTATGAAAGGAACAAAAACACATGAGTTCCCTGGACCGTGGAATGAATCACCCAGCGATAGGAACGAACACCACAGCCAGCTTCCTCTGCCTCCCTCTCCCGTCAGTCTGTTTCGGGCCCTGGTCTTTCCAGACAAGAGAACCAAAACAAGTCTTGAATGTCCTCTACCGAGATGTTTCGACCTCCTCATATAACAGAGACGACCAATAAATCTGATGCTTGATTTGAAAAAAAAAAAGACTTTATGTTCTCCCAGAAAAAAAGTAAAATGTGGGAACATATTTCATTTCTTTGTAATAACGACAGCTTTTTCAATGTCTAATCCCTTCAAAGAAAATTCATTTCTAATCTGGTTCTCATTATCTTTGAGTTTATTTCATCCAGCACTTTCTAGCTCATTGTGATTGCTTTCATAATTAAAAATGGAAATATATTTTAAATTCTGTTGTGAACTCTGCAAAAGATTTCATATATTTTGCAAATTCTTTATATTTTCTATGACCTTGTGATTATAACAGGGCATCTAATGGCAAAGTTTTTAAAACTGTCTTTAAAGAAGCAGGCAAAAAACCTTGGTACTTTGGTATGAGATTGAGACCATGATGGTCTCAATATCTTGCTTTGACTACACTTTTTGACTTTACTTTTGTACAAGCTAATTTTCCTTTAGCTTTTTAGTCAATATAGAGTTCCTAAGATTATTTCAAAATTTATAGGATCTTTTTTTTTACCATCACCGCAGCCATTGAGAATATAATCAATACTTACCAAAGCAAAATGAAACCTTTGAAATATTGTAGCTCTCAACTGTTTTAGTCTACCTTTGGAAAGTATCAATAGGTATTATGAATTTTTAAAATATACTTATTTCTTTTGCAGCTATACCTGACAGTGCTCAGAAGTCACTCCCTCCTTATGAGATCATATGCTGTCAGGAATTGAACTCAGGACTTCTGCATCAAAATTCTCATTCTAGTCTGTATAATATCTCCAAGGGTCAGCCAGGGAGAAGCCCTGACAGCTCTTCCCCTAGCTGTCCACATTCAGGTGGGCCCCGGGCTGCTCCTTCAGCCAGGGTGGTCCTGGTCATGGGGCAGATGGAAGGAGGAAACGTGAGCCAAGCCAGGTGGTTGATCAGATGCTGTTTATTCCATTCTCCCCACGTGCCTGCTCCAGTCTCGCTGAGCCCTCCCATTCTAGTCTCACACTGCCGCTCATTCCTGTATCCTTCTGTCTCTCCGGCTCATCCCTCCATGCTCCATCTCACAGCCTGGGCTCTCTCTCCATGTGAATGCTCCTGTATTCTTCTTCTATATCCTTCTTTCTCTGTCCCTCTTGCTAGTCTCTTCACACTCCATCTTGCTGTCCTGTACTCTCTCTCATCTCCCCAACTCTCCTTTTTCTCCATCTCCCTTTTTTCTCCAACTCCCCAGCACTCTGGGCCACACTGAACCCAATCAGGTAGCCAAATCAACATAAGAAAACCCTTCCTGACTGCCAGGCTCAAGGGCAGAAACATCACCCAGGGGATTTCCAAAGCCCTTCCTTGACTGCCCAAGGGCAAAATATCTCCTAAGGTGTTTTTCTCCTTTCCTCAGTCCAAGAACTCAATTAATATCTTAATACTAGTTATTTTTATATGGACACAGAAAGAGATATATTGAGGCTTGTAGGGCAGCTCTTCTGGGAACATCTTGCCACAGGCTCAGATTACAGAGCTCAGACCAGATTAATCATTCCTAACCCTAGCAGGGTCCGAATCTAGTTATTACTTTTTGGATCATGACAGCATTTATCCATGACCAATCTCTTAACTTATAGTTAAGCATCATGGCACTTTTGCCAGGCCCATCTCGATGCCAGGGTAGCATATAGCTAACTGCTTGCCCCGGTTCCATCCAGTCACTCGTCAGTGATAGGAAATGGATCGTGATCTCCCTTTAATGACAAAGAGACTCCAGAGACTGCAAACAGCAAGCAAGATTTATTGTAAGACTGGCTAGCCAGGGTCAAGGCATCAGGTAAGACCCCGAACTTCTTCAAAGGGGATCTTATATAGGCCTTCACTGGCCATTAAAGCAAAGCCCATGCATTTCATAGCCAATAGATTTGTAACAACATATACTTTCTTAACCAATCCATTTAAAAGTACATCACTCCTTAGCCTATAGATTCAAAGATCAGCATTTACATACATAGGCATTGTGGCTATTGGGTATCTGGTAACTCAGACATTTGGTTATCTTCTACGTTTACGTGGCTCCCTTTGATTCTCATCTCAAGGCCCCTGCATTCTGGTCAAGGCAGATAAAGGAAAAGTTACTAACAGAGGTAACAGATAAGGAAGGGCCAACAGATGGTTTCAGAATTTACATCCCAATAAGGAAGGGTCAACAAATGGAGACAGAATCTATATCCCAAGTAAGAAAAGTCAACAAATGGAGACAGAATTTACATCCCAAGGCTTTACCAGGGAGAAGGCAGGTAAGGAAGAGTTACTAATTAGCAGAGTTTAGCTCTGGAATTTCCCTCAGGGTCCCAAGGGACCATACAGTCAGGACCCTGCCTTTGGGGTGCTAGGAAGTAAGGGCAGATGAGGCTTAGGTAGAGAGAACAGATGGTCAGGAGGAAAATATCGCTGAGTCAATAAACTCCAGCATTAAAAAAGCATAGCATTTATTGCTTTCTTGTGTCCATACAAAAAGGACAGGGCTCTGAATAAGCTATGCAAAGGACTTAGGAGAAGAGAAAAACAACATTTACAAGTCAACAGAGCACAAAGAAAGAAGTTACAAATAAACACAGAGAAATGGGAGCACTGTTATGGGAGCAAGCCAATAAACCTAAACTACCTGAGGCTATGCAAGAAGGACAAACCAATGTAATCCTACACTAGTCATTGAACCATATCCCCAGCCCAGCAGTATTTTGTTTAGTGATTTTTGGTGACATTAGAAAAGCTAAATGTTTTTAGCTTGCTTGGTTCATCTCTCCACAATGAAACACACATTTTGAATAAGCAATAAGTTATATCCAGTCATTTGTATTTGACTGCATTTTCTGAAAAATTACTACATTTGTATATGTTAGTTATCTCATCAATTTCATTCTACGTAGGAAATCGGGGAACATTGTAAATCTAAAATAATATAATTCCAAGCATTTTACACATAGGAAAAGTTTGGCAGAGCCCTTATTGAATCTGAAAATTGTACTACCTAGGATTTTGTAGCCAGGCTAGCATGTGGGCGTCATTAATTGTTTTCTCAATTATTTGGAATATATCATCTGCTATCTTTTATTTGCAGATACAATAATATTAGGAAAGGAGTGGGGAAAATAGCACACATGAGAAGAGCAGATGCTCAAGAACAATCCCAGGTTAATATCCCCTTCATCACTGAGCACCAATATTTGTGACCCAAGAAGCCTGCTGAGTACATCACCTGACAAGTAGGTCTCCAGATTCACTGGGGAATCTTTAATCAAACACCCATAAAACAAATTTTCAAACCTCTGTAAAATAACAAAAAAGGAAATGCTTTAAAATGTAGCATCTCAGCTTGACAAATATTTGAGAGAACCATTTTAAAGACAGGAACTTTCCAGAACCTCTTTGCAATAAAGGAATGAATATCCATTTTCATAATTGAGCAAAAATAAGAAAAAAAATATGATCTGTATATTTAGATGTTTCAATTTTAGGAAAATATGAACACTGCTTGAGAGTTGGATTGCGTTGAAATAAAATTCTAAGATACTAATTAGTAATAATGTTTTCTATTCTAAGAGGCTTTTGTGTGCATCTATAAAATGATCAAATGAATATATCAATTATGTGATACTTTGTAAAAGTAACATACACAAGAACCAGAGATGTAGTACAAGAAGTGACCATGAGCTGATATCAATTTAACCCTGGTCCCTTAAGCAACTCATGGTATAGTCCTGTAAAGTCACTGTGCATCTCCCGGATGGCAAATCAATCCCCGAGAATGCAGGGTTTTCTTGTTCCTCACCCTTGAGCCTTTACATTGCGCCACTGGCCTAATTGTCTGAATATTGGTGGGCAGAAATGCCTAAACACATTTCAGAAGTTCTCTTGCTCCAGCGACTCCCCCAAATGCAGCCTCAAAGATAATGATAACAATAATATTTTGATCTTTTCCCTCCTCTTATGATTATGTTATTCTTATTATAATTCTTGCTTTTGTTTAAATTTGGGGGGTCATACCTGGTTGTCACATGGGCTACTCTCAGTGCTCAAGACCATTCCTAAGAGTGTTCTGGAGACCAAATGTTGCTGAAAATACTTTTAATTTTATGTTGCATGCTTCATTGACATGAGAAATTAAAAAGTGTCTTGAGTATATTTTATTTTTTTATCACTTGTCTTTAGTTCACAACTAACAATATTGTTTGAATTTAAATGGCTTCAGGATACAGATGATCAGTAACTGGAAACATTCGGTAGGTGTAAAATTTACCCACTTATAAAATTTACAGATGAGTGAACAGCAGATTGATTTGATAAGTTTGGAATGAGCATGTTGCATATGCATACAAACTATCAATGAGTAACTCTGTAAAGGTAATTTTGATAACTCCTATCTTAGATTTCTTTTCTGATGATTTTCATTTTACTTTCCATACAAGAGAAGAAGATGATATAAAAAGACAAAAAAAAGTGAGAAAGGGAAATAAATTAACTAACACATTTTAAATTACCCTGGCAGAATTATATACATTTAGAGTAAAGATTATGTCTTGATAAAACAAATGAATATAACACACTTTGCATATAAGCAACAATAAAGATCATAGTAACATTTTCTCTATTGTGATGTAAGAGCTGGAGCGATAGCACAGTGGGTAGGGCGTTTGCCTTGCACACGGCTGACCCAGGTTTGATTCCTCCATCCCTCCCAGAGACCCCAGCAAGCTACCGAGAGTTTCCTGCCCTCATGGTAGAGCCTGAAAAGCTACCAAAAACCGAGCTACCAAAAACCGTATGCCAAAAAACAG